TTTCCAGCTTTTAAGCCCCTGTAGTCTTAGGGCTGCAAATGCAGCGTATTGTCGTCTCATAATATCTATGGGTATGATGTTAAGGATCGCATTCATTGCCATAGTAGGTGTTGTGCGGAGAGCACCACTAATGCAGATCAGGGCCGTTCTCTCCACTCTTGTAATTTAACACTGTTTACTTTCTTCTCCAGCACTGGCCACCATACCACTACCCCATACAGAAGTATGGGCCTCACCACGACGGTGTATATCCAGTGCACTAGCTTCGGGGTTAAACCCCATTTTTGGCCGATTGCTCTCCTGCAGCTGTATAGGGCAACCGTGGCCTTCCGCACCCGCTCTTCGGTGTTTTGAATCCAGCTTAATTTTTTATCCAGGACTTTCCCCAGGTATTTAGCAGATTCGCTTAATTTTAGTGTGGTCTGTGCCAGCCTTTGTGTTATCAATGGGGGATTTTGTACCTTCTTGTAAACAGTACAAGTTCTGTCTTGCTTGGGTTTACCCCTAACTTGTTATTTTTTGTCCACCTCTCGACTTCCTTCAGTTTTACCTGCATAATGTCACATAGAGTCTGTGGAAATTTCCCACTTACTGTTAGTGCAAGATCATCCGCATACGCAATAACCTTACAGCCACCCCCTCCATGCCACACAGCAGTGAGTTTACCGCGACCCATAATAGAGGGGATAGGACGCCCCCTTGCGGGGTGCCCCTCTCTACGATCCTGGTCAACGATACCACCGCCAGCTCCGCCCGAACGACCCTGCATCTCAGCATTTGGTTTACGAGCGCAACTAAGCGCGATTCGATGCCCAGGCCCGTCAGTGCTGCCGTTATCGCGCGCGGCATGATGTTGTTAAAGGCGCCCTCTATATCCAGGAACGCTCCTAGCACATATTCTTTGATGTCTAGTGATCTACTACTACACTATTTCATGTAGCGCCGTTTCTGTAGATCTACCTTTCGTATAAGCATGTAGTGTGGTAGAGAGTCCGTCACCAACCGACTCTCTGATACGGACCTCCCCCAGTATCTACGTAACCTTCAATTGAAACGACGACAAGGTGATGGGCCTGAAATCCTTTGGGTTGTTGTGAGACACCTTCCCTGCCTTGGGGATGAACACCACTCTTGACTCCCCCCACTTTCTAGGGATATGGTTAAAAGCTAATACTCCCTTAATTATAGCGTGTAGCCACGCTGAGCTTAGCTGAAGTGTTTGCTGCAGCTGTATGGGGGCAATGCCATCCTGGCCTGGTGATTTATAGGGCTTAAATGTCCCAATAGACCATATGACCTTTTCCCTAGTGCGGAAATCTCCAGTGACCGAAAGATCTCCAGTTAAATGTGGCTGTACCGGCATGCTATCCGTGGCACCCGGGAAGTTTTNCTGAGCTTAGCTGAAGTGTTTGCTGCAGCTGTATGGGGGCAATGCCATCCTGGCCTGGTGATTTATAGGGCTTAAATGTCCCAATAGACCATATGACCTTTTCCCTAGTGCNGATCTCCAGTTAGATGTGGCTGTACCGGCATGCTATCCGTGGCACCCGGGAAGTGTGTGCAAAGAAGCAGATCCAGTGATTCCTCCTCGGTCTCTGTCCAGGAGCCGTCAGGTCTTTGCAAGCATCCTGGGGCTTTCTGGGCAGTACCTGAGAGTATCTTTCTGAGCCTGCCTGCCTCTGAGATAGACTCCACCCCATTGCAGAAGTCTTTCCATGAGGTTCTTTTCGACCTTCTTAGGAGCTTCTTGTACTCTCGTAACGTTGTCTTGTAGGTCTCCCAATGTCCCTCACTACCAGACGCAGTAGCCTGATTGAAGGTTTTCCTGCAGTTCTTGCGTGAAATCCTGATTTCTTCATTCCACCAGGGTGGCTTTTTCCTACCCCGGTGCTGCTTTTTGGGGCATGCAATGTCTATTGCCTTACTGCAGGCCCCCGTAAAATGGTCGACAAGATATTCCAGCTCCTCTAGGTTTGCTGGAGTAGCCGGCTCTCTATCTTGTGGCAAAAGCCTATCCAGCTCTTTCCGATACCTATGCCAGTTGGCATTTCGCAATTTTCTAGTTAGAGGAGCCTTGGGCGTTCCCCCAACTACCTCGAATTGGATATATCGGTGGTCGGGAAGTGGAAGGTGCTCGAGGAGCATTCCTTCTCAGAGATAAGGGTAACGTCCAGAACCTCCCTTCGGGATTTTGTAAAAAAAAGTGGGGTCATTCCCCCTATTTGCAATAACAAGCTTAGAGCTAAGTATGAAATTAAAAAGTGACTCACCCCGTTCGTTATCATCGGAACTGCCCCAGGTGTGATTGGGGAGCATTCGCATCACCTCTCAAAATCAGCGCCTCCCTCGTGCTGCTAGGTCTTTAATGCAGATAGTTGGCACCTCCTTGTCGTGCGCTAGGTACATGGATGCCATCTTAATTGGTCGTCCGTTTACACTTAGACTGACCGCTGTTGTGTCCTCGTCGCTAAATTGTGGAAGAAAGAGACACTTTAGTGTGATACTTATCAATATGCACGTCCTTGGTCTCCCTGTTGAGGCTCCATTTACCAGTCTGTAGCCCGGCGCTTTCAGCCCACAAACGTTTTGTCCCACCACCCAAGGTTCTTGGATTAGGGCGATGTCGGCTGCCCCTTTAGCTGTTAGATGGAGCACCAGTGCAGCTGAAGCTGCTCTACAGTGGTGAAGGTTAATCTGCAGTACCTTCACCATCTTGGCCGTTGTCGCCCACGTCGCCTGTTAGGGTGGAGTTGACTGCGTCTTCCTACGTCTTGATCAACTCCTCCTCCGTATAAAGCCGAAGCATGCGTCCGACCCCCAGCGAAGACGTCGATGAGGCATTACCCCCGGTCAGTTCGTCCATCGGATCAACCTGCTCGGATTCTTCCTCCATCTCCACGTCGCTGTTGGCCTCTTCCGGCTCTACCTCCGCGATCAGGTTCTTCGCTGCGTTTACGTCGTTGCTGTAGACCTTAATTTTGGCCATGTCACAGCCGTAACGTATGACCCCGCTCTTTAGCTCCAGCCACTCTACGGAGTCCTTATTTAGAAGCAGGACAACCTGCATCGTCGCTTTAACGCTTTCGTTGATCTTTACCACCTTCCAATTTTCGGTAGGTAGCTCCGGGTTATAGAGCCTTATGAATTTCAGGATCCTTTCTGGCTCCGCTGGCCTGCAAGGCAGCCATGCTCTCGCTCTCGGTCGCACAGGTAAGTCCTTGAAGTCGACCGCCCTGAGCTTCACACCAGGGTAGATTTCTGCAATACCTGCGACTGTATTCTTATAGATCTCCGCTGATCTAGCATCATCGCATGCTATAACGCGGATGTTATTTTGGAAACACCCCGCTCCCTTGCAGGTTGGCGGAGGTCCCGGATTCTCCAATATAATGTTAATGCAATGTCGATCATCGCGGCCTTAACCCACTTCCATTGCTGCCTCAGGGTGAGGCTGTCTTTATTGCTCTCATCAATGACGCCGAGCAGGATCTGCTCCTTGGCTACTTCAGCAAAAGAAGGCCCCTGCGTTCTGACCCTCTTTGCATAGTTGGGCGTATTTTCCCCCGATCTATTGCGCTTACTGGAGGGCGCCTGCGGCTGCTTCTCCTCCGGCTTGCGGTAGTCGGGCAGGACTGCCTTTGCCCAGTCGATTTCTGTGAGGATCTCCTTCACATGCTCTTCTTTCGCCTTGCTACACAGGTCAGGCGTTGTGGTGAACCTTTGCAGGATTCGAGCAGCCAGCTTCCTCTGTCGATAGCCCGCTGCAGCTGGTTCTGGCCTCGTGAAGGCCGTCTGCGCCCCAGATTCAGCCTTATCCCCGGCTGCAATCTGCATGCCAGGTTGGCATCCAGTGCTGCCAGGAGTTTCCCGGGGTGGACTCCTTTGAGCATCCCCACCGCCGCTTTCCTGCGTTTTTACGAGAGCTTGGCCCGGTTTCACCACTGGCCTTGGTTTCCCGCTAATTGTCATCGCACTACGGCTGGTGGAGGTACTCTGCATCGCTTGAGCTCCTTCTTTAGTGGGCCGAGACCCTTCCGACGCTTTAAGGGGGCCGGTCGCTTTATAATTTGTTTTTGTTTTTGTTGTTGTTTTTTGTTCATAATTGATCCCACGGGCTGCGGAGAAAGGGGTTCGTCCGCCCGGGCAGAGATCCGCGAGGCCCAGGTAAGGCCTACTTACATCCTGGGTGTGGCCGCCTCCCAGAGGGCTCTGTTCACGACTGGGCTATTTAGGAGCCCCCAGCCTTGCCGATCCTCGGTACGGTGCGCGTGACGCCTTGATCCAGCCCCTTCAGACCTCCAAGCCACGATCAAAAACCATTTCCATATGACTACGCTATGAAGGAGTTTAGCACATAGCACCGATTCCTGATCTTAGCTGAGCACCATTCTGACATCGCACAGAATCCTCTGTAGTGCCCATTTGCCCATCAGCGGCTATAGTCGGCGTAAATGAGCTGGTTTCAATTAAATAATTAAAGCAAATGCTACACCTTTTTCTGGAACTTCGCTACATTTCCTTCTGCTTCCAAAAAAGGTCCCTGTGAGAGTGTCAAATTTTAGAAGAAAGCTACTTACAAAACCTTTAATAATTGAATCATGGTAACAAAAAAATATATTTGATAAACTGAAAATGTTGTTGACAGACAACATTAACAATTTTTTCTGAGTAACTAAGCCGAAAACATGGATTTATGCCGTTACGAGTGCTCTTCTGGGCCACAGTACATTGCATTAAAACTTTTACTTAAATTTGTTTTCAATTTTCCTCACTGTACAATAAAATCAAAGATTTTCGACATATCGGACTTATTGATGTAAGTTTATAGTAAGCTTACCACAAATATATTTTATTTATTGGGGAGCTTTGTTGTATAGCCATTAACACGCCCAGAAAATTTCGCTAACACATTTAAAAATATTTGAAGAAAGTTTTAAACCGATTTCATCGTACATTTAGTAACAGAGACAATTTGATACATGATTTTTTTGTATTTGCAGGTCTGCTTAAAAAATTATACTGGTGGTGAAATGGAAAGTGATCGACGAATTATGGTACTAAAAAAGGGAATTAGTCTTAACTATCAGCATCACTGGATCGTTGATAATATGCCTGTTACTTGGTGCTACCCCTTGGATAACGATAAACAATACTGTAGCACAGGCTTTCCTATGGGTTGTTTTGTCCGGCCAGATAGCGATGAAGCGTGCCTTGTTAACCCTAATTACAATCGTCGCGGTTTTTATTATATTTTTAATCATGTTGATTTACGTATCACATACCATGGTGATCAACCTGAAAATAGCGCCGGGTTCCGAGGAAATGGTGGCCGAATAATATCTGTTAAGATAATACCACGTTCAATTAATCACCTTAATCCTTCGAAAATAGATTGCGATAATACGGACCCACTTGCTATACAAAGTAACTCACTACGTCATGGAGAGCAGTTTTCAATTTCTTATACATATAGCGTGCAATTCAATATGGATAATTCGGTAAAATGGTCATCACGATGGGACTATATTTTAGAATCCATGCCGCACACAAATATTCAGTGGTTCTCTATCCTTAACTCTCTAATAATTGTGCTATTTCTTTCGGGAATGGTTGCAATGATAATGTTACGGACACTGCATAAGGATATTGCACGATACAATCAAATGGATAGTGGTGAAGATGCGCAGGAAGAATTCGGCTGGAAATTAGTACACGGGGATGTATTTAGGCCACCGCGGAAAGGAATGTTGCTATCAATTTTTCTTGGATCTGGCGTTCAAGTTACGTTTATGACCTTAATCACATTAGCATTTGCTTGCTTGGGGTTTCTTTCACCTGCTAATCGAGGAGCGCTTATGACTTGTGCAATGGTTTTATTTGTCTCACTGGGCACACCAGCAGGATATGTCTCAGCAAGGATTTATAAGAGTTTTGGAGGAATGAAATGGAAAAGCAATGTTATTCTTACTTCAGTAGTATGTCCTGGGTAAGATAATGCATTTATTGACATTCGGGTTTTAACTTTTTTTTTATTAGCGTGGTGTTTGGACTCTTTTTCGTAATGAACTTAGTCCTTTGGCACGAAAGCAGCTCAGGAGCGGTTCCCTTTAGCACGCTAATAGCCCTTCTAGGGCTGTGGTTTGGAGTATCAGTGCCGTTAACTTTTGTGGGAGCTTATTTGGGATTTCGAAAACGGGTAAAACCATCAACATTTTTATTGTTGTTACTATTATTATAACTATTATTATTATTAGTATTCTCTATATATTATTCTAAAACAAGGCGCTTATTCTCAGCGATCTACAAATCGTACAGAGACTGTTTGTGCGAGATTTACGCAATTTATTTGAAAAAACTGCATGCGTTCGAGTAAGCGTTGGCTTAGCTTCGTAGGCTGCGGCGTTTGTGTCTTCCAAGTTAAGAATATAATTTGGCCATGACGATTTGGTTTTGCATAGCCATGTTGGTCCATTCCACCAAATATTTAAATTTTCTAGTTCGGCAACGGTCGTGCCACGTGTTGCACAATCTGCCGGATTTTGGAGGGTACCAACGTGATGCCACTGCTTCCGTGTTGTTAACGTTAAGATTTTGCCAACTCGGTTTGCCACGAACGTTTTCCAACGGTCTTTGTCCCCACGTATCCAACAGAGGACCACAGTTGCATCTGTACAGAAGTGTATATGAACGAGAAATACATAAAAATTAGGGTAGAGAAAGGCTAAAAAAATGTATTGCAATTTTTCGATAGGAATCGAAGTAATTCAATTATAAAAAATTTAGTTATCGAAAGTTATCGCAACGTATTATTCAAATTGATCAATGTTTATTGAGTTGTCGAAATTTATAGGCACAGAAAATTGGTTGTCGAAATTTACGGATAATTATCGAGCCATAAAAATTTATGGGTTTATTGAAATGTGTCAAGTAAATGAAATTCATCAAGTTATCGAATTATGATTATTTATTGAGTTAACAAAATTTATCGAGTAATCGAGTTTCCATAGGTAAGCGAAGGTTTCTGCAGCCGAAGGTTACTGCAGCTTTATGTAAGTGCAAGCTGCGTAAGCTGAAGTTGAGCCATCGCAAAAGGTATGCAATTCGACAGAGGAAATATCTTCAGGAGCGAAGTTGATGTATCTTGGAATCGTTATTCGGTGAATAGTAGCTAAATTTTGCACAATTTTCTGCGAACGGTCACTCAGACCTGCTGGAAGTTTTTCCTCCCACTGCAAGCCCGTTGTGTAGCCGTTCGAGGGATTTACTTTTGTTGTCCACATCAGCTTAAATATCATTTTCGCTGATACTATTAGCGGAGTGATGAATCCAAGCGGATCAAATAGTCGGAGAATAGAGTCAATTTCCGATTTCATTTTAAAATGGAAAGTATCTGTTGTAGGGGTACAAAACAGACCAAGTGTCTTAATGGCTTCATTGGAATTGAGTTGAAGTGGCCTTTGTTTGGATCGATGTTCTGAGGGTATGGACTGCAGGAGGGCATCATGGTTGCTTGCCTACTTTCGGAGCTCCATTCCAGCTGATAGAAGAGCACCTTTAGGATGTTCACGGATTTTCAACGCCTCTTGTAATGAGTGACTATCTGTTTGTACATCGTCGACGTACATTTCGTGCCGTAATACCCTTTCTGCTAATGGAAATCGTTCTCTTTCATCCACGTCCATTTGATGCAGATTTGGCGCAGACGCAGTGCCAAAGGGGACTGTTGTCAAACAAAATTCTTAAATGTGACCATTGTCAGGTCTCCATAGAATTCGCTGGTATTGAGCATCATCAGAGTGCATACGAATGCAGCGATACATTTTCTGAATGCCTGCTGTAAACACATATTTGTGGGTTCTCCAATTTAGTATGACGGCTGATAAGTAATTAAGTAATGGCGGTCCCACACAAAGTAAATCGTTTAGCGATTTGCCCTTTGTGTCTTCGATGAGGTTTCATAAACAACGCGCAACTTCGTGGAGGAACTTTCCGCTTTTATGACTGCGTGGTGTGGTAGGACGCAAGACGTGAGGGTCGGTTTGTCTGTGGATGAGATGACTTGATGATGGTCTTCTGATCCCAGTGTGTACGAATCGGTACAAATATCTCTAAACTTGAGCCGGTTTCCTCGGGGGTTCCTCAAGGTTCAGTCCTTGGTCCTCTTCTATTCAGGTTGTTCATAAACGATGTTTTTCTTACATGTAAATTTGCAAATATTCATGCCTATGCGGATGATATTCATATATATCTATCTAATAACTTAAGAAATATCGATGTATTAGTAAGCCAACTTATGGGTCGATTACGGATGGCAACACAACCACGCTTCGGTTGTCAGCTGGCAATGCAACTGGAAAGAAAATTTGTATTACGAATGGCAACTATCGTCAGTTGCTGTAGAGTTATCGATAATCGAAATTTGACAGTTCAACAACCAGCAAGCGGCTGCAAACAAGCTGTGCGAGTAAAATTAAATTATTAAAATAAAGAGTTTTAAAGAAAAGACAGAAATAAAGCTAAATTTATCACAATTTATTTGTTTAGGAGGAAGAGAAATGCATGAACGCGTTCTCAATCAGGCGACACTTAAAGGATAATTCCAATCCTCTAGAGCTAACGCGTGTACTACAAGCAAAAGTTAATGGTTTCTTTTGTTATCGTTTTGTGTTCATTTTCAAAGCATATTGAGGACTTCCAAAAGAAGCTGTAGTATAATTGGTTAATAAACACATGAACCACTTCGTTCAACTTCAATACCTCCGCTCATAAAAGCTTGCGCACGTCTTCGATTTTTCGCAGAAGGAAGTGCCACAGCAATGACTTTAATTTGGAAAACTGGGTGTGTCCGTAGTTTAAAAGAGGTGCTTCAATTGATAAAGGAAAAAAATTGCAATCAGTGTTCGCTTTTGTTTCGCCAAAAGGGCGTTGTTCCCGGGAACTAAAATTTCAAGATATTGGTTTGTTATTTTCACCATATTCTGTAAAAGCAAACTGCATTGCAAAATGTTAATATCGTTCAAATTATTAAATATATGACACACTTTTCAATTTTCGCTCCTAAATACGTTCCAAAAATATTCCCAGCAACCACTAAAATGTAGTCGCCTGTATACACATTATGTAGCAACTGCAGTTGTCAGTTGAAAGTTGCCAGTTGCCATCTGTAATATCGTTTTGGCAACTAGCAACGCAACTGAAGTTCGATTGCTATCGATAATCTACCCATTAATTGTAACCTGGCTGCCATTGAGCAATGGTCTAAGGATAATAATCTTCTCCTGAACTCTAGTAAGTCATATGTATTACCAATTGCAAAGAAGAAGCTTAATACTACTGCCATACCTCATTTAGTTATTGGTAATAAACCATTACAACTTGTAAGTAAAATCACTAATTTGGGCTTTATAATTAACTCGTCTTTGACCTGCACTGATCATATAAATTCGGTAGTTAGTAAAGTTTATGGTACTCTACGAAATCTACGCCAAAGTGCAATATTTACGCCCATTACTACTAGGCGTAGGCTTGCACTTCAATTGATAATACCATTAATGACCTATTCTGAGCTGGTTTACAATAAATTGGACTCGGTTTCAGCTCATAAGTTATCTGTACTATCCAGTCATGTCACTCGGTACGTTTACGGCCTAAGAAAATTTGACCACATTTCGAAGTGGAGAACGAGTTTGCTGGGATGTGAAATACATGCTTACCAAACGGCCCGGAGCTGTATATTTCTTTACCGGCTAATCACTACCAAGTCGCCTTCTTATCTTTATGACAAGCTGATATTCCCAAAATCTGAGCGCACCAAAGATCTTATTGTACCCAATTTCAATTTCGCAGCATCGACTAGACTGTTTTTCATAAATATTATTAGAAGTTGGAACTCCATTCCGACTGCACTAAGAGGCAAGTTAAATAAAAGCAATTATAAAACTCTCATATATTCACACTTCTATAATAACCCAAGCAGGCCATCAGAATTGAAATTAGTATAGTTTGGAATTAAGAATTATCCATTATTTACTTATTTATTTATTTGTTTTTTTTTGTCCTGTGTAATCTCTAATGTATTCTATGTCCTCTTCATGCGTACCAAATTTTGTTGTACTAAAAAAGAACACAATTCTTATTGTACTAATGTAACTCTTTGTTGATAAATAAATTCAAATTCAGTGGAAAGTGCTGGGGTTATTTGCTGGAGGTAGAAGTAATCCTCAATGGCGCTGGAATAACCGTGGCGAAATTCCGAATTAGCAGTTAGACGACGCTCGAGCTGATAATAACGATTTAAAGCCATTTGCCTTGATCGACTTAAAGTCTGATTTAGATCAAAAATAGATTTTAAGGGTAATCTTACCATATACGTGCCATCTTCTAGACGGGTATGAGGACGTTGGAAGAACTCTTCACACCATTGGTCCTCGTCAGAGTATTCGTTGAGATGGTACTTGTTCAAGCCCGTAAAAAAGCTTTACAAGCTTCTCCAATTCAAGTGTGGAATGACAGCAGCAAAATTTTGTTGATTTTGCGTACGGTTGAGCTATACTACCGGAGAGAATCTAAACCAGTTTAGTATTTTGTGCGATCGGTTGGCAATGAAAGCCCCGCCGCACTCCTGGTAAAATGATTGGTCGAATAGATAGACACCAATAAGCAAATCAACTTTGCTGGATTTGTGGTATGAAGGGTCTGCCAGAGGAAGGCCATGCAGATGTGGCCACGATTGAGGCACTATGATATTTGTTGGCAAACAAGACGTTATTGAATTTAAAATATAAGCAACATCGACTAAAGTGCTGAATTTGCGATTCGTAAGTGAGCGCAGATTGAAGCAAACCGTGCCACGGCAATAGTTGCTTGAGTGATTACCCACGTCAAGAATTTCGATTGCGTTTGGATTTTTCTTTAACCGTAGAGTTTGATCGGTGTTTTCGGAGCAAAGGGTTCCCTCGGAACATTGCTCCAATAAAGCTCTCACCACTGTAAACTCACCGGTTTCGACGTTTTGTAATTCGACAAGTGCAGTTCCAACAACACCTTGCGTTGAGGGCTGCAATTGGTTCGCGATTGTATATTGGCTATGGTTACCGAATGGGTGGCGAATACATTTTCTGAATTCGTTCGCCGCAGTATTGCCGGAGTTGCAACGCACAGCGGGACACCCGAATATAAGCTGCGGCCAAAAGTAGTAACCGTACTAGAAATTCGCTGAAATTTCGTATATGCGCTATTCGGCACTTTGGTATG